TCTACAACACATCTCCCCATGTGGCAACTGCTGTTTTTACTACCACCATCATATCCAATAGGTTTTCACATTCCTGTCTGAAATTTTGCTTGGAAAGGATAATCTAAAATGTTAAGTGGTACCCCCACCCCCCGCATCCATACTTGTACCACCACCCCCCCGCATCCATACCTGTGTACTCACCCAGTCCATTGTCCAATATTTTTTAGTCATATCAGAGGATAATCTGAATTAAGACCAATTTTTCAAGCCTTTTTATTTTGAAATCATTTTAACATTATAGAAGAATTACAAGACTAGAACAAAGAACTCCTGTACATTTTTCATCCCGTGTTAATATTTAGCCACATTTGCTTCATCATTCCTGTTGCCCTATCACTCATTCACAGATTTTCACCTTCACTCGTCTCACACACACACACACACACACAGAGATTTCTCACAGTGCCATTTAAGTTGCAGAAGTCATGCCCCCATACCCCTAAAAACAAAGACGTTCTTTTACATAACCATGGTACAATGATGAAAGTCAGCATATTTAACTTGAATACGATATTGTTGCTTAATTTAGAATCTGCGTGCAACTTTTGCTGTTCCAATAAGATCCTTTATAATGTTTTCCCCCCGGTCTGGGATGCAACCCAGAGTCTTATATCACATTTGGTTGTCTCATATCCTTAGCCTTCCTTTAACCTAGAACAGTTCTTCAGCCTTTCTTTTCCATGATCTTGACATTTTTACAGTGCTCAGGCCAATTATCAATATGTTGAGGACTGGCCTTCAACTTGGATTAGTCTAATGTTTCCCCATGATTCAATTTGGGTCATACAGTTTGAGCAGGAATCCCACAGTGGGGATGTGGGGTCCTTCTCCATGCCTTACATCAGGAGGCCATGTTGTCAGTTTGCCTCATTACTAGTGACACTAACTTTGATCATTGGCTTAAGATGGTGTCCACTGGTTTCTCTGGTATAAAACTACTCTTTCTCTGGAAAGTAATAAGCCTTCCAGAATGTTGGCTGAGGAGTGTGCTGACAAGGCCACGGATCCCTCCTCCTAGTGGACTGTTTACTGTGCATGAAGTCAAGTGTCTTTGGAGAAAACAGAACCAGATTCCAGGATGTGGAGGCAAAGAAGTCCTTTGAGGTTTGACTTTGCAGTCAACTCACGTTCAGAAGCGTGACAACCCTCTCCTGAGAGTTATTGTTGCCTCTCTACTTACAGAATTGTTTGTTCATATTTTCAGCCAGTCATGGAACCTTATAAAGTTACATAATTCCTGACTTATGCTCTAGGAAAGCTAGTCCTATAATCCCAAACAAACTTTGTGAATTCCTTTTGTTATATTTTTATTGAACCTTAAAAAATTAAAATGGAAAAAGTAAAAAAGCGAGACTAAGAACAAATGACTCAAGTGCCAGCCCTGGCTCTCTCATCTATTTGTGTTTCTCTAGGAAAGGTCATTTAAGCTCTTAGGACTTTGGTTTTCTTATCTAAAATGTAACTAATAGCAATTTGTACCTACCTTACTGGATTGCTATGGTGATCAAATATGCCCTTCTTAAACAGATGAGAAGGTACTTCAAAATAAAATTCTGTAAAAGCACAATGAGTACCTCTGATAATGTCTTATTTAATTTCTGTCATCAATCAAGATGCCCTTTTTCAGGAAATTGAAAAAGAAAACACTCTTTGCCAGGTGTCATTTGGTGTGCAGTAGTGTGAACAAGGGCTGGGCAGAGTGCTGTAGGGCCGCCAGCCCAGTGGTGCCTTGTTGAAGACGCTGAGTTCTTGCAGGGTTACTGACCAGGGACTAAGTTCATGGGAGCAAGGGGCAAGGCATGGGGAACGGGACACTCAAAAGATAATGTAGCTCAAAGTGGGAACCTCTAGGGCCAGCCAGGTGACATGGTGGTTAAGGCAGCTGGGTCCCACATGGTCGACTGTGTGGTTCAACTGGACCCAGCAGCTTGAAAAACATGCTGGGGGCAGGTGTATGTGTGCCCTTAACCCCCAGAGGAGAATGGAGAAGGGATTGCAGTATGGTCATCCCTCTTGAGAGATGCTTTCTCATTTTCTCTCTCTCTTTCTCTCTCTCTCTCGCTCTCGCTCTCTCCCCCTCTCCCTCCCGCCCTCCCCTATGTCTCTCTGTCTCTGTCTCTCTCTTATTACTGCACATACTGTATAGAAAATTATTTTTAAATCGGGGAGACTTCTAAGATTTTATTCTGTATGTTGATCACTCACTGTTAGAAAAAATTCTGTGATTTGCCTGTACTTCTCTAGTTTGAAGAGCATATTTATATATGCACGTGAAAGTGTTTTGTGTGTGTGTGTTTATTAACTTATTCTATTTATTGCTCAGGGGCTAGATTCAGACTTCTTAATGAGTTTTACCTCAAATAATCCATCTTTACTTCTCAGGTAGATGTTATTTTAAAAATTTGTGCTCATGGGTAATTGGCCCACTTTAATTCAGAATAGAACCTGAGAGTCTGTGGTGTGAACTGAACCTGCACATGACATTTCCATTAAAGCAAGTTGGAGCAGCGGGCACTGCCTACTGAGCTCTGTCAGAACCTCCTCCACCCAGGCCTTTTCTCCCAAGGATTATAGTCCTGTCTTGCATTTCTTTCTACATAAGTGGGTCTGACAGAACCGCAGGGCTCCAGCCACGCTGACTTGGGGTTTGACTTCATCATTCACACTCCATCCCCTTCTACTAGTGAGCCATTTGAACCAAACACACAGGGGCTGGGTTGAGATTCACATGTAGGCTTTCTGGCTGCTAAGGCTACAGACAGCTCAGGCCTCTTACCTCCTCCCCCCACTTCCAGCCTTGGGGACCCTTGTGGTGAGAGGTGTGTCTGCAGAAAAGTTGCTCATCCATTTGCCCATGTGGGTGTGCAGAAGTATCAGAACACTGCAGGGCCACCTTGGGCAGAGCCCCCCTCTTTTGGCACCACTGAGAGAAGCCCAGAGTGTGGACTCACTGTAGGCAGGTCCTAGAGAAGGAAGCAGAATGGTCAGGGCTGCATGCATCCCACGTCTTTATTCTGTCTGGCCAGTCAGAAAAATCAGACCTCACTCCTTGGGGAGGAGGGTGAGGGCAGGAAGAGCAGATGGCTTTGCTTATCCTAGTGCTAGAAATTCCTCTTTAATGAGTCAAGGTAGGAACGCTTATGGGAGGAGATGTTTTCATTTGCATCATCTACCACAAGATAGCAGTCTTTCCTACTGCCTTTCTCAACAAGCCCCAGACAAGGCCCAAACAAGCCCCAAATTCATCCCTTCTCCCCACACTGTTTTGGGGCCAAAGGCACAAATAACATTCACATATCATTGCAGGGAGTAGGTAGCTAATGTGTTTTAGTCTTGGCATCAGATCTAGTCTCTCAGGACACCCTCATGGTGATGACAGCTACATGGGAAGTGAGTTTATAGCTGTGGGCACCTCTCACCTTGGTGGGTCACTGTTAGCTCGAGAGGGCAGGGGAGGGGACATGATCCAGAAACTTTACCTGCTTACCAGTGTGATTGTAGCCCTAGATGAAAGTGTGGAAGGAAGGCATGGGAATGGAAAAGATCTCCTGCCATATTCATAAGATTGTTTGAACCTAAACACGACTCTCTGCAGCTCACTGGGAAACTGCTGTCCGCAGGCGAGAGTGGGACAGGATGGTTCCCCGTTACGGTCATCCTCTTGGTTTTGTTTTGTTCTTGTCTGTGGGGATTATTTGGATTTTTATTTTATCATGTATTTTATCAACACCAACATCTAATAGCTGCAGAGTGCTTTCCTTACTCCAGTTCTGAAAAGAACATCTTGGGGTCTTGGTGGCCCCATCATCAGCCTTAGCCGCCATTACAGCACAGGGAGTAGAGCAGAGTTGGCAGGAGTGGAGTCGGAGCGACCTGGACTCAGTTCCCAGCTGCATCACAGTCAAGCACGGGAAGTCATTTAACCTCTCTAAGCCAGGTTTCTTCATCTGTAAAATGACCACAGTAAAAGTACCTTTTTATTTCATTTTTGACAAGTGAAAGACACACACATATACACACGTACATAAATATGTGTATATATACAATTAGTACAGTGGCTGGTGTGCAGACAGTACTCAGTAAACCTGAACACTACTGTGGAGGGTGTTGATGGAGGTTGAAGCTCCAGATGATCGAAGGGGAACCCAGGTCTGACCGCCAGCCCACATGTGTGATGTCTGTGCTAAATCACAGAGGCACTCATACCAGAACCCGTAGGCCTGCCTCGAGCACCTCCAATTAGAGAGCTCCACTCTACTGTATGTATATGTAGAGAGAGTATGTGTGCTTGTGCGTGTGCGTGTCTGTCTGTCTGTCTCTCTGTCTGCTATCTGTCTGTTTCATCTCCAGGGTTCTCAGCTGAGGGAGATCTTGTCCCTGAGGTTGTCATAACCCAAGGAGGGAGGTGCAGATTTCTTCTGGCATCCAGGGAGTAGATGGATACCAGGGATGCTGTCCCACAGTGCATAGGACAATCCCCCATGACAAAGAATGATCCAGCCCTGAATGACCGAAATGCCACATTGAGAAAGCACATGTGTATGGTAGGGCAGGGCAATTCTGTGCATAATTTTTATTTGATAAAAGAGTCTAGGAGGGGCCAACTCATCCCTTGTCCAGATCTAACCCTGCATCCAGATCCAACCCTGGTGTTCATTTAAAAAGAGGGGGTTGGAAAATGCCTAACATTCCATCCTTACATTGGCATCAGACCTAAATGAGTTTAGGATGTGGCGTCACCATCTGGACTTCTTAAAATAGTTCTTCCACCAAGCCATCCTATTGATACCATATGTTCCTGTTAGGGTGAGAGTACTTTAAGGATGTTCAAGTGTGTGCTAAGCCTTTCCTCAAAAGGATGAAATTATCCAACATTTTAGAAGCAGGTTTCTTAGGAACAGGGAATTTTGTGGTCAGACCGAGCTACAATCATCTTACACATGTATTTGGTTTTCCAGGACAACTTCCAAAGCATATCCGCAGTCTCCAAAGACAGCAAAGCCACTGTACCAAGGATCTCCTGTGAGGTACCGCTTTCCCCCTACTCCCAGTGAAGAGACACTCAGGAAGAGAGAAAAAGAGAGGAGCAACAAGGAAAGAGAAGCCGCCTCAGGTCAGCAGGCTGCTGGCCCGCATGTAGAGGAAGCCCCAGAGAAGCACGTGGCAGACAAGCAGGCCAGCGAGAAGCATGCTGCCATGGGAGGAAAGGCCGAGAGCAGCACAGGTAGTGGACCTATGATGATGCTGCCCCCAGGCCTTGGCTTTTCTAAGACCCAATCCAACATGCTGTTCTCTCATGTGTTAGGGGAGAGGGGGACTTTACTATGGGACAACTTCTTCCCTTCATACTGCCGTCTCAGGCATACCCATTGCCCCTTCTCCTCAGTCTTCTGAGGGGCCCCTGAAAGAGGAGACTTAGTGGCTAATTCTGCTCATGGCTGTGGAAGCCCCTTGGGGTGCTGGCCAAGTCAAGCTGCATCAGCCAGCTTCTGCACTTCCTGCAAGAGAGAGTCTTCTTTTAGCCCTTAAAGCGCCTATGATGTAGTGAGTTCACCCAGATGGTGGCTGCTGTGGGACTTGCTAGTGCCCATCTCTCCTCACCTTTCCACTGCCTCCATCGTGAAATGCATCCTTGGTCATGGCTGGCCCATCCGGCTTCTCTTACTCAGTGCTAATTGTGCTAGTCCTGGTGGCTTTTCCCGTCACCACACTGGGGTAGATTTTTTATTTCCAAGTCGCAGGTGCTGTGTGAGAGGAATCATTATGTTTGTTCCCCTTGATCTTTCTTCTTGATGATTCTCCTCTGATGCAGCCTTGGGGAAGCCCACAGCAGGCACCACTGATGCGGGAGAGGCTGCAAAGATCCTGGCTGAAAAGAGACGCCAGGCCCGTCTGCAAAAGGAACAGGAGGAGCAAGAACGACTGGAGAAGGAAGAACAAGACAGGTATATGGTTGCTCAGAGTTTCGGCATAAAGTCTGTGTTGAAAAGAGCAACTTGCCTGATTTTTTATAGTTTTGGTGGAAACTGGACAGATGAAAAGGAATGGAGAATACCTAGACTCATGGAAGGCATTCGGGAGACTGCATCTTCTATTAGATGTAATTAGCAGCAGTAGAACTTTGCTCTTTTCAGAGGGTTTGAAAACACATAGTTCCAGGATCTAAATATTATTCTCTTTTTGGATTTTGAGACCAGGCAGGCCTCACAGAGCCGTCAGGCAAGTTTGAGCTCTGTTTATAGGATAAGCATCTCCCAGGGAAGACAGGAGGTTCTTGATGTAGCGTTCTCAATTCTGCTTCCCAAATTGTTTTCTCCCTGAAATTACCGTCACCCCAGAGTGAGACAGGAGGGTTGCACAGGGTTCCCTAGGTAAGGAGCAGCCTCATATTCCTTGAGCAGTGAGTTATGAGGAATCCTACCCTGGAACAAGGCACAAGATGTCACTGCAATGGTCCTCGAACTTTGGAATGTATCAAAAATCATATGGGGAATGCAGTGAAAATACACAACCCCAAGCCCTGTCCTGTTTCAGTAGCTCACCCCGGCTTTGAGAACCACTCCAGTGTTAGTACCAGGGCACTTGGCCACGATACAGACAGTCCTACCTTTTCCGATGATTGTGTTCAGAGAGGAATGCACATTAAAGGACAAGATAGACTTAATCATTAAATTGATAAAGAAAGCTCTTAGGATAATCACAAAGTGCAATCCAGTACTATTTAGCAAGTTAACATGACAGGAAGTGAGATGCTGTAGCATTTCAAGGCCAGCACTGAATTTAGAAGAATAAATAATAGAATATTCTAGATCCTTCAGTGACCTTGGCAAGTCTTTGTGCTCTCTAATTACAGATTTGCTGAGCTACTTTTTTTTTTTATAAAGGAGTTAGAGGTTTATTTATTTATTTCTTTTGAGAGGTTTTCGCTATAGGGCGTGTGCGCTCGCCAGACAGACAGAGAGAGACATAGAGACAGAAAGCGAGAAATCACCCCCCAGGGGGGATGGCCACACCGCAGTCCATTCTCCTCCATTCTCCTCTCGGGATCTCGGGCACGCACGCACACGCGCCCGGCGTGAGTTCTAAGCCACCGGGCCCGGGACTCAAACCGCGGTCGACTACGTGGGAGTCCAGCGACATAGCCATTACGCCAACTGCTGGTTCCCCTGATCTACTTTTTAAAAGGGGTGAGATAGAAAGGTATGACTGGTCCCTTCAAATTCTGGACTTTGATTATTTTCCTACTTCTGGCCTTCTGGTCAATATCAGCAGAGTTTTTTTGGTTGAGTGATGTGTTTGGACTGGTTTTGGGTGGGTCATAGGATTTGCGAAGGGAGGTCACAGGAGATGAAGATGAATCACAGGACCTTTGATGGCAGGCCTTGGTAAGCAGGCCCTGGAGATGCGTGCGGGCTTTGACCAGGTGAGTAACATGGTTGTAGCTGTTTCCACCTCTCTCTCCTCTCTGTCCCCCCGCCCCTCACATACACACACACACACACACACACATAATTTTCTCATTTCTTACACAGCCCACCTCCTGAAAGAATCAATTGTACTTCCTGTCTTTTATTTCAACTCACATTCCATGTGTAAACATCATACCCACCATTCTTCTTAATTGCTGGGCTCCTAGTGGGTTTCTTGGTTTGTTCTGACCTTGTCAATCTTGTCCTTACTTCTCTGGCCTTCTCTCAGTCTCCTTTGTCTGTTTCCCACCCCCTTAAATGTTGCCTGGGCCTCCAACCCTCAGTCCTTGACCACCTTCTCACTCGGCCAGCCCTCCCCCAACAGCCTTGCTATCCTCTTGCTGTACCAGGGTCCCCGCCATGCTGCCAGTTTCCTCTGGCTTGAAAGATTCAGGGCTCACATTTCACGGTGAGTCTTTGGTGCACTAAACCAACTCTGCTCTTATCTCCCTTCCCACCCTCATTTTCCCTTTGCCTTGTTTTATCATGCTTCTGAGCTAACAACAGCTTGCTTTGTGAACAGTTTATACTTTCTGGAATAAGAAAGGCTCTGAAGTGCACATGTCTGCTGAGGCCTCCTCAGTCTGTGCCTGCAGTCTGGCCTCTGCCTAGGGCTGCCCTGCCTGAGGCACATGTGGTCACTGAAATGTAAATCAAACAAAACTAAGAACAATTCAGTCCTTCAGTCCCACTGGCCACATTGCCATGCTCAGTGGCCACATGTGGCTAGTAGACGCCCTAAAGGACAGCAAACGGCTCTAGATGC